TTACATCGTTACAACGATGGTGTTTGTTTCAGGGCCTTTTTTACCACCTTGAAGGGCTATGCTCAGAATTAGTTCCACCAGCTGTCGGTGGGATCCGTCTATAGTTTTGATGCGTTTACCTCACTGTTTATCAATCAATTCTCCAGTGCAAGAAGCACAAGACATATCTGTCACTGATGAACATATAACAGCGTGAGAATGAGTCTCTCAGGGAGTATGTTGCTAGGTTCACGCGGACGTGTGTGGAGGTGCCTACATTTGCAGAGGAGATTAAGGCTGGAAGGCTCACGCGAGGGTTGAAGGCGGGTCACTGCAGGAACTCATTAGCCAAGAAGCCTGCTAGGTCTTATGACGAGTTGTTGGAAAGGTTTATAAAGTATAAGAATATGGAGGAAACAGAGGTGGACTTTCTTGCGCACTAGCGAGCCAGGGGGAAGAAGCAGGATGAGAAACACATACAGGAGGAGAGGAAGTCAGAAGGTAGGGAGCATAGGGGTGATAATAGGGGGCGTATAGGGTTCAAGTATGAGCATTACACTTCGTTGACATCACCGAGGGGGCAGGTATTTGAGATGTTGGTGAAGCATGGAGAGACTAAGATGTTTGGGAAGCCTCAGCCCCTACCCAAGAAGTCAGGAAAGGTGCTGGTGAAAGGAGACCCTTATTGCAGGTGTCATCGCAACTATGGGCACTGGACGAACAACTGTAAGGAGCTCAAGGATGAGATTGAGAGGCTGATAAGGGCCAGTTCTCAATATTGCTCTCATATGCAAACAACTCTGGAGGATCACAACTCAGCCTCATTTATTGGTGAGCAAAATTTTAAAGACAGGTACTACTCAGACTGCTCTATTTTTTATGCTGTAAAATCTAAAAAATGCTCTTGGTTATGGTCAAACTGGCTAGATGTACTCCCTTTCTTTGCCAAAGGCTTTGCTTGAAATCATAAATGGGGAGTCTACAAGACTGGCTGATGTGAACTGGGTGCCATCACTTTTGAATCCAAAGTCATATCTCATTAACATAGCCAGAGGGCACATCATTTGGGTCAAAGAACTTCTCAATGAAACTGGGAAAGGCTGGAATGCTTGGCTGGTTAATCGGTTATACAATGCTATAGACAGTGCAACCATCTTAAAAATATGCACGCTCAAACCAGGGAAACAAGACAGGCAATACTTGAAGTTTGGCAGCGAAGGGAAATTTTCAGTTTCAAGCAATGTTTTAAAAACCGTACCGGTCGTCATACCGGTGTAGCGACCGGTAT